TCGTATTCATTCTTTCGAGTCAAAACTATATCGTCACTATTTGTTTCTCATCCCTTATAGTTGAGACTTGAGACTCTCTCTCTTTTTATATCATTTCATTTTTATTTTTTTTATAATATAACTCCACAATATTAGTCTATTTCTTACTCATAAATGAAACCAAATTCCGATGTCATGTTCAAAACTAAATCATCTAATTTTTATTATGTATACAAATTGTATCATTTTATGTCCATCTAGAAGTTGAAAAATAAAAGTAAAAATGTCTATATATAATAAATTATATAATTTCAAGATGTTTTTATTTTTTTGTATAATTTCAGGTCATAATAAGGTAACAATCAAGATGATAAATGTCATAACGGTCAAGATGATAAATGTCAATGGATCGATCAATAGCCAACAATTATTTTGCATTGAATTTATGATAATCACAATTTAACTTACTTTGTCAGACATACACATTGAGAGAGTTCTTGTTAAACAATAATAATAAAATATTTAAATGTAATATATAACTCTAAAATGATAAAAAGTAAAACTAACACATGTGATAAATGATAACAAAAAAATGTATGAACATGTTGAGATGGCCTATTCAATAAATTGACCAAAAAATTAAAATTATACTAACTAAAAATAAATAAAGTAAACAAACTTTATATTTTCGGGCCAATGAACACCTTCAATCAAACCAATTTCAGTATAAGTTTTTCTTCAGTCTTCATAGTTAATGACATGAGTTATACCTCTTTGAAATAATGTCACTCTCCCCATTTGTATGTTATCATTTTTCTTTTTTTAATATCAGTTCTGAAATATCATCTATTTTTAATTCATAAATAAAATCAAGTTTAGATATCATGTTCGAATTCTAAGTTTGCTTATATCTTTTTTTCTTTTGTTTCATTTGTTCATATTCATTGTTGATATTTGTAAAAGAACCTAAATTAATAATTTTTTTTGGACCACATAAAGGTTATTTTGTGTTTTAGATATATATTATTATGGACATACAAGTTCGTCCTTAATGCCTGTAGATGGTGCCTTTTATTTTATTTTATTTTATTTTATTCCATTTAAAATAATATACTTTATTTATAACCGATATAACTTCAATCTTTCTCTCTCTATCTTTCTTTTTTTATTATTTTCAAAATAATTTATTAGAAAATAAAATAAAAATAAACAAATATGAAATTTAGTTGTGTAAGTTTGCAATTTTTTACTAACCATGTGAATGAATTTTGTATTAAATTTTAGATATTTAGAAAATATCACCAATAATATGCTTAGCATATTATTCTAATTAGCATGTTATTCTATTAAGTCGTAAACTATTGGAGCCCTTTTATTATAACTAAAATAGATAACCACCTTAAAGTATATTTTGTGTATATTATTTTCACTATATATATGATTATAAAAAATAACATAATATATTTGAATTATTATACATAAACTATCTATAATGATAATTCTATTTTTTAATTAAGTTTTTGTACACATAATAATTTTTTCTTGTTTGAATTTTCCACGTGCAAGTCCCAATGCACAATTAAATTTAAACTTAATTATTTTCTTGAACAAACAATTATAGTACTATTTTTGTAATGATATATCATACTTAGAAATTGTCAAAATTTATATCTAAATGATAAATGTAGTTTTGGAGGATTTTTTTTTCAAGCTACTTAACTAAGTGTACATTAAATTTAATGATAGACAAAAATTAGGAGCTATGCACGGTTTCCTAACATACATGAAACAAATGTATTCATTATTCTCAAATTTAATACTAAGTGGAAATTTAATGCAAAATTTAAAAAAAGATTAGTTATCAAATAATGTGCAAACATTTAATGTAGATTTTGAGCGGGAATTTGACAGCTGCTCCGCTTTAATATATATATAGATATAGATGATAACAAGACAGTATTACACTGCAGGTGCAGAGTCCCATAAAAGATAAAAACAAGTGAAGGAAAATGATTCCATTTTTCAATCTCAACTTCTTTCGATCACATTTATCAATATAGACACAATAACCTTCTCGAGCAATACAACATTATGATATAACAATGAATGAATCAAAACAACAATAAAAGGTAAGTAAACCCCTCAAATCTAAAGGGGAGGGTAACCAACCGTGTGTATAAACTTCATCAAGCCACATATTTTGGAACAACCTGCATGAAATATAGGGAAATGATAATAATAATTTAGAAAAAAAAAAGATATTCTCTCATGTTCATAATATGTATCGTTTTGAAAAGTTGCACAATAACTATGATTTTTTTTTTTTTGGCCAATAATAACCCTCTTTAATGAAAATTAATAACGTGAAAATTAAGAGTGAATATGAAAAAGCATAGTGTATTTATTAGCTAAATACGGGTAATAATGGAAAAACATGTACTCCCTCCTATTTTTATTATTTGTCGTTTTGAGAAGCAACACGCTAATTAAAAATTTTTTTCTTGCCAATATTAACCCTTTTAATGGATGTTATGAGAAACTATGGAGATGAGATGTGAAGAGACATTGTGCTTCGATGGAGGGTTAAAAATGGAAAAATAAGAACAAAAATAACCAAAACGACATTTATTTAATCAATGATCCATTAAGCTACAGTGACAAATAATAAAAATAGGAGGGAGTATAAAAGATCCACAACGTCATTTATTTGGTTAATGGTTGATAAAACCAAATGACATTTAAAAAGAATAGGAGAGTATAAAATACGGGAGATCATATAATGATGCTAACAACAACGGATGATATCATGATAATAACAAGAAACTTAAACTAACGCCTATTTACTAAATTATTACCTATGCTAGAACGCAGTGCAACAATAATACGACCAAGTAGCATCATTAAGCAGCAGCCTACAACACACACAATCGAGAATATGTTTATCAGAAACCAGCGTCTACAGAGGATGGATAGCAAAGCGCAAAGTCCACTTCAACTGGGTGCCAATAGTCTGAACTAAATAAGGTTAAATTATTGTAAAGTATATCTATTTACCTTGCCAGTGGGTGAGGAGAAAACTGCTTTTACAGCCTCAAAGACTTCTTCAACTGGTCTTGCAGCATTAATCTAAATTTAAAATTCAAAAAGAAATTATAAAGGAGAAATAAATAGGATGCTAACTTGTCCTATAATGGATGAAATAATAATGACAAAAGCCAAGCATTATGATAGAAAATTACCTTGCGGACCTTCCCTTTCGCGTTGTAATATTCAACAACAGGTAGACTAGAGTCCATGTACACCTTAAATCTCTTTCTTATTGTATCTATGTTATCATCTTCTCTACCCTGTAAACATGAAAAGAAAAGACATGCACACAATAAATAAATAAGTAAATAACAGAATAAATAAGGATGGATACAGACTAATCAGGTGAAGGAGATAAGAAAAAAAGGTGGATTATTTTTTATGTAATGTACCTGGTTCCTACTCAACAGCCGCCTCTCCATTTCCTCCTCTGGACAATCAAAGAAAAGTACAAATTCTGGCTCAATCCCAGTCTGTAGAAAAAGAAGAGAAACAAGAGCACTTAGAGAAGGTAAACTTGCATAAATTCAGTGTAGCCAGTTAATAATAAAATTCCCATAAATAGGAGTCATAGGAAACATAATCACCAGGCATACAAAATTTTACAACCAATGCAAGCATTACATAGCCATTAAAATGAACGTCTAAATCCTATAATATCAGTCACACATATGCATTTCATATAGACGTGTAGTTATAAGATTATATATACATATGTATACCTGCACAAATGTCAGAGAAAGAGAGGAAAGCGGTAAAGAAAAAAGACTTACCACAGTCTCGAATGCTGCACGGTTCTCCTCATTGCGGGGAAAACCATCAATGAGAAACTTATTGTTGTCATGTTCCTCTATTGCTCGTTGGAGAAGGTTAATTGTGACCTCTGAAGGCACGATTTTTCCCTCCTTAATCATATTCTGAATCATTGTGCTACATAAATGCATAACAGCTCAAGTTAATTAATAAGAACAAAACTTTCTTCATGTATTTGCAGAGTACGCAATAATTACAGTTGTTGCACACAATAATAAGATTATACCCATTTTCGGAACCAGATTTTATCTCGGCTCGGAGAAGATCACCTGCACTGAGATGAGTATAGCCAAAGTTTTCAACAATATTTGCACACTGAGTGCCCTTACCGCTGCCTGGCCCACCTGCTCGTATTCCAAAAGAAAAATATAAGTAAGCTGTCCTGTTTTTTTTAGTTACAGGAGGACAGGCGGGGAGGGAAGTCTAAATCTCATTCTAGTGAAATTTTGTCCATGAACATAAGGGATTCTAATTGGCAGACAGACATCTGATCTAACTTTTAGGCTAAAACATTTTCATCCATAAGCAACGAGCAGCAGTTGCAAAGAACTCACCCAGAACAAAAACAACAGTCACCTTCTTGTCTTTGTGCGAGCTTCCATTTACTTCCTGCACCCAAAAGAGTTCTGTAAAATATTAGTCGATTTCAAGTAATTAATTGGCAAATATAGATCTTGTTTCATATAATTATTGGCCCACAAGTTCAATACATGCTGACATATATGACTACTGAGGAGGATGTTGTGGTTCCTATCATTTTTTTCTAAATCAAGATAGAAAAAGAATGAAATTAAAGAAATAAACAAGCCTAAAAGAAAGCACCTTGATTGCAGCATCAACAACAGTGCCCATAGTGCCTGTGGAAAGTCTAATGATATTATCTACACACAAGCAAATACCACTGTCAATGCACATTTAATCTAGAACAAGTACATGGCATAATACACAAATTTCAAATCAATTATATTAAATTTCAAATCAAGGCACATTCGATTTAAAACTCAACCAGTTTTTATACAACATGATAATTAATTATTTATGTACAGAATTAGAAATTTCACAAGGAAAGATAGAAATCATTCTTGTCGCCATTTTGGAAACTCAAACAAAGTTTGAGACTGCAAGCATTCTCATATATAATAGAAACAAATAAACAAACCATTCACTGAATTTCTTATACGTTTTTTGGAGTTCAAAATATTCCCAAAATGCTAACCTTCCTCATCAACATAAAAACATAACAATACTTACACAAATCCATGTCAACAAACGACTGAAACTCGGATATTTGTAATGTTGCACTAGTAGTTTATGTTGTATGGGCACAATAAAACATAGATGGATACAACAAGATAAACACAAAAATGAAAACAAAATCAATGCGAGCAATTTGGGGGTGGATGGGG